TTGGATTTTTGACATGTTTATCCTGGATCGTATCGATCGAGAACTCCACTATCTCAAATGTTTAGACCTTAAATTTGGCTTATAAAGTTCAGAATTTTTCAGACTTTTTCGGTAAAATACCTGTTGGAATCCTTCTTGATGTTCTATTGTGTGTTCATGTTTTGTAAGGCGTCTTTTTGTGCCCTGACATCTTCATTCACGGCATTTTAAAACTTCGTCGCCATCTTGACACTGAGACGTATGGAAGGGTTGCCATGGCATTACAAATTGACGCTGAAATTTCGCGCGAAAATTAAGGAGTAATTCGTCACCTATGATATTAAAAATTGAAATATGAAGTGAATAATTAGTAATAATAAATACCAGATAGTCCACCACCACAACAAGATGCCTCTGATCCCATTAGCAGACTAACTGGGTTATGTGTATACCTATTCTACCCTCATATATTTCCATCTCAAATCAACGTCATTTCCCCCAATTTTTAACCGGTCTCCCCCCTTAATCAGTTAGCGGTAGGTTGGAAGTGGTTTTGCGCTGGGCTCAGTTCTCCTTCAGGGTGGTCAGATCCTGGCTGCTACTAAGTCGGGGATAGTTTGGTTGCTATCGCCCTGTGCGCAGTAATCCGGATTATGGAATCTGCAGAATTTTTGCTTGTAGAATACAGAATCGCTCGGGCTCAAGAATCCGAAATTCAGCTAAAAGAATCGGGAATCCCGCTAAAGATTCAAGTCCAAGTAGCCCTGACAAGGAACCTGGAATAAAGTACCTGGAATGCGGAATTCAGAACGCGGAATCCAGAAGCTAAGATTGTCTTGGATTACCTCATATGAAGCGATTGGTAGTTTCTAGCCTGGGACAAGGCTCCGCATTGGGGAAAAAAGGAGAAAATAATCGGCGTGGGCGAAAAAAAAATCGGCGGGCAAAGCGAGCCGAGAGGTAGTCTGAGGAGAAAGGGCGACCCTTTCCCCTTCCCCAGGCCACCGCTCGGCTCGCTTCGCTTTCCTATTTGGCTCCGCTTATTTCCTTTTTCCCTCAACTGCGGAGCCTGATCCCAGGCTAGTAGTTTCCGAATCACATCTTCAGGATCAGCTTGCACACTTTTAAATTGGCCTTAACAGTGTCCTTGTAGCAGAGCAGTGGGTAACCTTGGTTGCTGGCATCAGAGCTTGATTTGAAGTTGGTAAGTTCAGAGGTCGGGAATTTCAAATCTAGTCTTTTTGGTCCGGGCTTCAATATAGTTGCTAACCCTGAAGGATTTTCCTCAGCGTTGAGTTGCATTCTCGTCCCCAGGGCGCTTTTCCCTAGCTTTGGCTTCCAAAGCCAGCGAAAAGCGTCCTGGGGACGAGGTTGATTGAGTTATAATCAGAGCCCCCGGGTTGTTAGCTGACATAAGCCCTTAGTTCCCTCTTAGGATACACCACTCAATGTATAACCTGACTATCTAACCGTAGGTCTGGTCTCACACCCGTTGCACATAAAAAAATTCTGGGGGACTTTTAAGTAAGACAACACATCACACACATTACTCTTACAGTAGTCAGCCGTCGGTGTACATTTGGTGGAGTGTCTCTAGTCACATTCGCATTAGGGAACATTTATAACCCATTACTTCATTAATAGTAAACTGTGTCTATGACAAAAGTCCCAAACCATTGTTTTTTTGAATATGCCGGAAAAGCCCTGAGAGAAATAGATAGTAAGATATTTTGAGAAAAGTTACGATTGTTGTAAATTTTGTAGACATGTTTCGGATGAACGCATCATTCACCGTTAGTACATACAGAACCCGCTAGTGGGTGTGATGTTGATTGTAGAGTAACAGTGATGTCGTAACTTTTCTCAAAATTATTTCTATATTTTCAATTTACCATTTACAATTTCGATTTACACGTCTCCTCTAAATAAAACCCTTAAGAAGAGGACTTAAAAATGTATCTCGAAACTCGATACTCGTTTTCCGAATTTTACAATAAGTTGATGTTCTTAATCGCAAGGTTTGGGCGGCAATATTCTTATTTTCGGTGAGCAGAGCGGCTCGCTAGTAAACACAACCACCAGCTGATACGGCATGACAAGGCATTTCAGTTAGTGTTGTTGTTAGTGCCATCAGCAAATGACGTCATACAAAGGAGTTAGTAACGCCCTGGACCGTATGCACAGCACAAACAGTAGCTAATCATCAATAATTTCCAAAAAAAACATCATGTAGTTAGCAGGACAACGCGTCCCTAGAAACTTTCTTAACGTGGTCTGATGACGTAAATTTACTGATATGTGAGAAGTGTTTTGTTTACGGAAAAATCTTGCTGTCAACAGGAAGATTCAGAAATTTAGCTGGACTTGAAACGAGTTGGTACGAAGTGTTTGGATTGTGCGTGGCTCTATCCTCAGTGCAAGCCAGGTACCCCTTCATTTGTTGGTTGAAAACTTTGATGGTTAGCTTTCTGTTGACAGCACCTTCTTTTATTTTTTTGATTTTTGTTTTCTTATTTAACTCCTCTGGACTTGAAATGGATGAATAGTAATAACTAAGAGAAAGTTTTCACTAAAAAATATCAGGGATTCGAATTTTCTTTATCATGCAGCAGAAATGTCAGTGCCGGCTTCGAACACGCTAGTTTCAAATAGCCTTTTCTTCGAGGGGAATAGAGGGTACATTCGTGAGAGTCATTCAAAAAATGTCTGCAGGTCATTCACTTTAAGGCAGCCTTATGAGTGCTTGTTTTCTGTGTACACCTGTATTTTATTAGATGTTCTTTCCCATGCCGTTAACGTCCTTAAATACTGAAGTTTTGGCATATTTCTTAATCTCTATCGACTTCGAGAGCAATTTTTTCCAGTCTGTTCTTTTCTTGTCCCAGATATCCCACCACAGGACTTTAAAGCTTCTTTTTTTTATGATTCATCAACTTTCAAAGTTTGTTCATACAAGGAAGTATTTTTCTCCTTAATTCCGTTAAATAAGAACTGAATTGGCCGTAAGGAAAATGCACAAGCTAAACGTTTTTGTAGACTTTAATTTTTTAATTATTTAGGCCAAAACTTACAGTCAGCAACGGAGCGTTTACCGAAACTCAAACACGTAATCCAGCGATCAGTATTGGGAGTCCAGCTCAAGTGGGCGGGGGTGGAAAATGACACTAAGAACTGTAGTGGTTGCCGCGCAGGAACCGGGCACCATTTGCATTCGAATAAACACAAAGTTAAATAACTGTAGAGTTTTTTTTGCAGTATCCAAGGCAAAAATGTTCTGCTATCTGTGCATAGTATACATTTATAGCTGACGGGTAATTAGAGGTTAGATTGATAATATTCAATACTGTTTGCACTTTGCTTGATGACTGATAAAATTTTGGTCTTAATTAATGACTTGTTGCTAATAAGGATTTGCAGTTAGATGCACGGTTGATTGGTCAGGAGTTAAGCGGGGGCGTGAGCGTTGAAGCCGTCAATATCGTACAATATTTACCACAGGCAGCCCAAGCGCACTATTTGTGGGTTCGGGCTTCAGAGGTCATTTGGTCGGAATATACTAGAATTATTAGTGTATTATCTGATGCCAAATAAATGCAAAAAGTCTTAAAGATATGAAGTCTTCTTGTTTGTCTATCTGTACTAGTAGCCTTTAAGATGACGAAAATCGATATTTCTTACATTATTACATGTGATTCGGGCCCTTATTGTTCGAATTTTATCACATGTGTTCGAATCTACAACGCTAAGAAAAAAAAATCATGATCATGCGAAATATTGATTCAAAAAGCTCCCTTACCTTTGGTCAATAGCCACTCTGTGTCCTACGGTCGGTTTAAACGCCGTTTAGTCGACTTTCTTTCCATCGAATACTGAACACTATAACTTTTATAGTGTTCAGTATTCGATGGAAAGAAAGTCGACTAAACGGCGTTTAAACCGACCGTAGGACACAGAGTGGCTATTGACCAAAGGTAAGGGAGCTTTTTGAATCAATATTTCGCATGATCATGATTTTTTTTTCTTAGCGTTGTAGATTCGAACACATGTGATAAAATTCGAACAATAAGGGCCCGAATCACATGTAATAATGTAAGAAATATCGATTTTCGTCATCTTAAAGGCTACTAGTACAGATAGACAAACAAGAAGACTTCATATCTTTAAGACTTTTTGCATTTATTTGGCATCAGATAATACACTAATAATTCTAGTATATTCCGACCAAATGACCTCTGAAGCCCGAACCCACAAATAGTGCGCTTGGGCTGCCTGTGTATTTACTTCGGGCAAATTTTTTCACGCCGAAATTTTCCTGCATGCCAACTCCTATGTGTCAGTTTGGCAGAGAAAATGAAATACAACAACTTACAAGTTTTGGCCGATTTGATTGAGTCTGTCCAATTTCATTTATGGAAATTCGAAAGCATTATAATGTGATTATAATTTAAAAAGGTGTTGTTTAAATTATTATCTGTTGTTGGTTTCAGGACGGCGTTAAAACATGGCATTTTTGCTAGATTAACGATCGTCAATGATAGTTTCCGCAGTACACAGATACAGATATAGAACAAGTTTTAGTTAATTTAAACGGATTAAATAGACCTTTGTCACGTGGCGGCCATTTTGTTTCAAGAGATTTAAATGTCGGGGGAGGTAGGGGGAGGGTTTGAGTGCGGGCTCATTTTCCCAATCAGCGGCTGGTAATCGAGCCTAAAGTAATCTGAAACCAGGGTTTTTCCTTGTAATAACTAATTAAAACTTATCAGTTGCTAATCAATTGATGAAATAATTGATAATGAGTCTCAGGGGACTTTCGTTCCAGAAGAGCCTTGAAGCATATGGAAGGACACAAGTTCTACCAGGCTTGACTGTTAACTGGCCAGTTATTTGCAGCCCAGTTGATTGAATTGAAAGTCGAAGATGGCATTGATTATAGTATTGATATTATGAACATTACATCTTATTTTATGCAGATGGGAGTCTGTATTTCAAAGGAGAACGGAGTTGGTAACCATGAGACTGGTACGGTCCTTCCGGAAGATACTGTACCTTACTCAGGATTGGAAGTACATTATCACATGATTAATGTAGAGGTATGAGCATGTTTTACACAGGGGAATGATAACACATTTGAGACGACTATCTGCACGGAATGAGAATGGGAATGAGAATGGAATGGGACGAGATCGAGAAGGGAATAAACCCCCATTCCATTGTTCTCTAGCCCCCTCTCTTCCCTCCCTTTGACACCTGCCACATAAGCTTAATTTGAGGCCAACCGTTTTCAGGTTTTCAGTAGCGTATTTTCCTAGGGAGTCCGTTCATGGCTCGAAGGTGTGTGGTTGGAATTTTAAAGCATAATGATGAAAAGGTTTAAAAACAGAAATAGCCGAACTGAAACCGCTATCTACGTTGATTAACTACGCTAAGAAAATCCTTAGTCATTGTGTCCGCAGTGATGGTTGTCGGAGACAAGAGAGAATGAGAACTATAATCTTTTCGGAGATTATAGTCGTCTTGCATTACAGTAAGTTAGTTCATACGTCTGTAATGACATCTGCAAACGATTAGAGTCTCTAGATTTCTCAGATAAGGACGATAAATTGTAGGTCCCGTCACGTATTACAAACTTTGCAACTTTTAAATTTACGTAACAGAAACCCGCACGCTCAGTTAATTCGTAAAGCCGCAGGAGACGCAGTCAACTGTGTGATATCTCTCTGCTATGATGTGGTCAGTCTGGCCAGATTAGAAATCAGGCTATTTGCCGGATCCTGGAATATCACTCAGAAATTGAACTCAGAAATTTACGTACAAATACTTTTTTCCACAATTGTATAGGTTAACATGAAACATAATGTGGACGTTAATTTTACACCAGGAATACACACCACAATGGCCGACGTCAGTACCAACATTGATTCGTATTACCCAACACTGGCACAAGCATACAGTGAAGGTTGGAGATTGACCAGCTTTTACAGGGTCCCAGGGGCAAAACAGCAGGCTTTTATGTCAACAGCTGTAAACATTCCATTTCAAGGCATTTTTACCAAGTATGTGCTTCATTCTGATAGTTGGTTAGCTTGCGTAGCGCGCGCCGGGTGTGTGGAAGGACAGTCTCGAACCCAGAGCTCTTCTGCGCATGACGGCCAGGGAGGAAGTCAGAAACGTAAGCACTGGGCTCAAGATTGGGTGAAAGGAGAAAAACAGAAGACGCGCGCACATGCACACTAGTGTTACCCTGACGCGCGCTCTATAAAAACTAATAAAAAAAAACTAACCGGCGCCTGCCACCCAGGCTAATGCAGCTTACGTTTATTGGCACACCTTCCATGATTAGTGTGGCTTCTTCTTTTTACTCACCAAAAATTCAAAGGGGGAAAGACTGCCTGTAGCTGTTATCGCTAGAAATTTTTGATAGTCCATTGACTGTTCATTAGAAGGATTGCCTCGGATGAAAGGATGGAAGATCTAAAGTAACTAGGATGGGGTGATAAAGTCGCCAATATAAAACTAATAGTGGGCTCACTGTAATTTTTTTCTCTTTTCGTCGCTTGCTCTCCTTATCTTGTACATATATCTAACTAGTCGATTTTTTGAAAACGAGTCTAACGAAATTTTTACCCATTTGAGTGAAAAAGGGCCACCGAATAAAATGGCAGGGTTTTTCACCCGATAAGCTGTAAAATCGCAGCAGCGATGGAAAAGGAAAGGACAACAAGGAAGAGCGAGGAAGAGGAAAGGAGGCGAATATATGAAAAAGCAATGGTTGCACTCTTAGTTTTTATTATGGGCACTTTGGAGATAATTTATGGCCAAAAAAACAAAAACTGTTTGACGTAACAGGTAGCTTTGGCGATAATGTTTTTAAAAAGTCGGCTAGATACTCGTATGACGGCGTTTTTCCACTGACCAGTTTATTTTTAGAACGGTTTTGGCGCGAATTTTGAATATCTGTTAAATTCCACAAACCAGTCATCAAAACCTACAGACCTAAAAATGATATTTTTGCCTTTTAATAACGTTTAGTTTTCCTTTTTGATATCTTATTCTTCGGATGTGCTCATAGACATGGTAGAGATTTTTTCGCGGGAAAAAGTGTCCTAACATGGACGTTGCTCGCTCCGGGTTATAGGCTCCTGGAAAAGATGAATTTCTTGCTCGCGTTTCGGAAACCAACATTGATCGTTTTACGGCAATGGGTAGTTAGCCCCTGGCTCCATCAACCCTGAACTTATAGGAGCAGGGGTTGCTCTTTGTCTTGAATGTTCCAGGCGTTCAAATTGTGAGGATAATGGGTAGAAAATAGAGCAAGAAAAACAGCGAGAGGGTTTTACGTACGCTTTCCCTCCTTCACCCTCCATTTTCGCGCCACTTTCATGCAACAATCTGAACGCCGGGAACAGGATACTCTTTGTCTGGTCTCTATCCCCGTCTAACCCGGCCTTGTATCCAGGCCAGTTCTTGCTATCCGAGTTACCAGAGGAGGCTTGGAACCGAGTGCGATAGCGAATTTTCTCGACAAGCTTGACAAGTGGCGTCACATCCGAAATCGCCGAGGACGACTGGGAACGAGGCTGGTCGAACCCGGCATGATAATCAGAGTCCAGATAGGTGCCACCCAAAGCTGAAGCCGTTACAGTTACTGTTTCATTTTCTTTACAGTTTTCAGTTCCAGAATACAACCAATTAATTTCCTTATGAATTTCCTTTCCAGATGATACTGCACGACGTAAAATTACACTTAAGTTAAAGATAGTTAAATTACATTTTAGTTCAAACCGAATTTAAAAAGGCATTACTTTATTTTTGATGTCATTTTGAGCTAACTCCATTTATATCTCACTAACTAAGTAATATAACAAAAAGCCGACAATTAAAGTAGTTGTGTAGGAGCTATCACATGACTGTGCTATAAAAGAAGAATTCATATTTATCACGACCTTTCTGCAACTGTTTTTAGATTTCCCACAGCTCCTACCTCTAGTGAGAGCTGGCAGCTGAAGGTGGAGAAATCCATTATGCTTGTGGAAAGAGTCAGAAAAAGAATATCCAAAAGGATTCACACTTTTCAGACAGATGTCGATACCGGTGATATTTTTACTAAAATCACCCAGGTATAGCACTGAGAGAAACATCGTATATCAGCATAATGTGAGGAGCCGAAGGAAGTAATCGGCTCCTGATAATGTATATTCTTTCCTGATCTTGGAAATTCGTCATTATGTAATAGCTAATGAATAGTTCTCGAGGGGGTGGGGGAAGTACTCCCTAGACCCCCCTATTATGGCCTACGCTGGAAGGCTCTGTCCGGTCGGGGTAGCTTTTTCAGGCTTCAGATTTATAAGGAGAAAGGGATTTCAAGATCTGAAGTATGTGAAAGAGTAGGGAACAGGGGCGGATCCAGGATTTTTACGTAGGAGAGGGTGCACCACCGGAACTACCAGTTAACCCTGTCTCGTGTTTAGCCTGTGTTCAGACCCCCCATTTTTCCTAAGGGGAAAGGGGCGGGGTCTGTACACAGGCTATCTGATGGTCTACTTCAACACCAACAAAAGGTTGAAAAGGACCGCGGTTCAGTACGGTCCGTCCTTCTTTTGTACTTGACGAGGACAACTACGAAAACGAGATTTTCTCAATACTTAATATTAAGTAGTGCATGCGCGCTTGAACTAGCGTCATTTTGGCGGGAAAACGTGATAATAGTCTTCATTTCACTACGAGTTTTAGCAAGAATGTCGTAGTTTATTGAAAACAAGTGATCAAATGTTAGAAGACAAGTTTTACCATTTTGTGATCGGGAGACGACTTAACCTTCTTCACAAATCTCGTCCTCATCGTCGTCCTTGTCCTGAATCGATTTTTTGACGGAAGAGGGGGTTGGTGGAAAATTTGGAAATAAATTGTTTGCAGAGGCTGTGAACACTGAAATAAATTGTATGTAAGTAAAAAATAAAGTGTTTGCAGGAAGATGGAAACCCACAAAAAAAAGCAGCAAGAGCCGCATATAAAAAAAATGTTTGCGTGTGAAAATTTTCTAACCACCCCTCCCCCCCCGTAAAAAAAAAATAATGATCTGTCCCCTAAAGGCAAAAGTGTCTAAAAAAATGTGATCATTTCAGAATACAGAAACTGGAGGTCAGCTGATATGTGTGGAGATCACAGGCCAGTTGAATTCACAAGGAACGAATACGAGTTTAGGAAGGACTGGGGTATTGTCAGCAGGTAAAAACGGTTGTGGGGTCAATGTACGAAACTGACCTGCTAGAATGACTTTGAAGTGCTTACCCAGCAACTTGCCAGCTGTAGTAGCCGTGTGAACACAGTATACTCTATCATATTTAAAAATAAGAAAATTTCAAATCTATTATAATTTATTAATAATAATGATGATTTCGATAGTAATAATAATAATAATAATAATAATCATCATCATCATCATCATCATCATCATCATCATCAAATCATCAATGTGGCATGTCGTGTTAGTGCACGATGACGTCATTTTACTATTTTTGGACCAGAATTCTTCAGTCTGTCATTTCTCGTGGACTGATTGGGGCCATTAATTTTATACTTCACTGGAAGTGAGAAATTTAAATAAGGAAGCAAAAAACAAAATGAATTCTAGAATCTTGAGTCAAATGATATCATCGTGAAAATGGTAGTAGTTCACAATGCGGTTCACGATTCACCAACCGGGCAAAACGACAAATCAAGTTATTAGAGTTGTTCCCTGCCGCACGCAGACATTTCTTTGGCCTGGTTTTTGACATGTGCGAAGTCGTTAGCGTCACTGACATTGGCTGAAGTTGCAATGCAAGCCAACCTATGCGATAGGATTTTTTTAGGACGAAAGGGGAAATTTCGAAGACGTGCGAGTGCACTTCGTGTTCCCCTCGCGCGCCCCAAGCCAAAAATCCTAACCGACGCCTATCACGCAGGCTACCTACGCGAATACCAGCGGCGCGAAATACTCCGCACATGCTACAAACTCTGCGTGAAAGAAACCTCTACCAGTAGGATACTAGAGTTGTAATTTTTGCTATATCTTTCAGGTATGGGAGTTGATTTATTTTTTGACATACCAACTCACCCAAACCCTCGTCGCTTTATATACCAAACAGTCAACGTGCCTATCGAAGAATCTGTATTACCACCCCGTCTGGGGTCTATACCAAAGCATACGTTTTCTTGTGATTGGCTTGGTCAGATGACCTCATTTCTACAACATGACTGGCGACTGGTAGAAATTTTCCTGGATATGTCAAGTGCTCCAAGAGATCAAAGCCTTGAAGCTAAGGTCAATTCGGTTTGGTTTTTTGAGAAAGAGGCCAGTCGAGTTAACGACCCCAGCCCTGTTTATGAAGGCACTGTTATAGAGTATGAACACAAACTGTCAGCGGGACTCACTTCAATAAGTGTGCCTCCTCAGCTGGAATCACTTCTTTGTGAAATGGGAAAACGCGGATGGGAACTAGCTTGCATCCTGGAAACGCCAGACATCAGGATCACAGGATTACAGCAATTTAAAATGAAACTTCTAATGTTTTTCCAAAGAAAACTTTCAGGCATGTCATACTAATGTCTTGCTGGACGTCGTGATTTCTGTTTACACGTTAATTATTTTTTAGGTTGTTGTTATTCTTGTTATTCTTACGACAGGCTTCTTCAACCACAACTAGTCACTGACTACATCTAAGACTATAGGTAATCATTGATTAGGGATTCGCGTTCGTCACTTACGGAAAAATTACGGAAAAATCGAGTCGAAAGGAGTCCAGTGTCCCGGCCGAGGTGCCCCGATAAAATTAATAGCGGCTGCTAATTAGATTAGGATGCTTTCTGACGAACGCGATTACGTTATTTTAGGGGCACAATATTAGTTGACCTAGATGTGTTCCACTCCTTTCCATTCTTCATTCTTTCTTCGTTTTGTGACAAACTTATACCTAATGTAACCGTACTTTATAACGTGTTGTAAACTTTCTGACTCAAGCTCTTACGTTTGTCTGTGCTTTTTCTTGTAATACTTATAATGAATTGAAAAAAATAAAATGAAATGGTGTATTACGTCACTTCTAGTTTTTAGTTATGTCGTTCAAAAAATTTGCCCAGCCCTGCCGAAATTTAACAAAGCGAACTAATATTGGACGAAAAAATGGACGTACACAAATTTTCTCCTTGCAAATATGCCCCAAATGTGTAAATACTGAGATTAAGTAAATATATGGCAAAATATATGGCATTTGTAATACCTGTCGCAATTTCTTTATTCATTTATCACAATTTAATGGAAAGTAAGACTAAGAATCATATATAAGAAAGAATAAAAAACAAGAGAAAAAAAAATGCCACATGAGGATGGTCAGCAAAAGAGTCATAGACCCCATGTGAGACCGACCACCTTAAACTTAAGAAAAAGAAAGAAAAGGAAATTATATTATATTATTTTACATCATATTACATTATATTATATTATATTAGGTATATAAAAAAAGTAAAATTAACATTAAAATATAAATATTTACAGAAATATTCGGGAGATTATCGAGTAGCCAAGAAATCTGCCAATCCCTTCTTCAGCACAACGAGTTGACAGTGGTAACGCATTCCACATATCAACAATCCTATTAAAAAAAGCTAAATTTGAAAATGTCTGTCTTAACATAATTCTTCTTAAGTACACAATTATCCCTACCCCTCAGGGAGTACCTATCAGAATCCGATTAAAAGTAAAAAAAGGAGAAATATCTATATTAATAAACCCATTATAAAAAAACAAAGCATCAAACAAAAAACGTCTGTCCTGTAAGGATAACAAGTTACGTTTTTTCCATAATCACCATCAGTTTTCCAAAATAAACTTAGTGGCTCTTCTTTGTGAGAGCTTTGTCCTAATTTTTAATAAATTGTAACAACAATAATGCGTGTCCTGTGCAGTTGTGCTTAGGTTCAACCAATTTTCGATGCTTATAGGAAAGTCCAGTCCTATATTTTGTTTTCCTTTTTTCTCCAGCAATGCCAAGTTGGATAGCGACTGGGTCGTGCTTCTTTCGTCAGAGCCACGCGCGGAGAGCGAAAAAGTAAAGAAGGAGGAGAGATTGGGGCTGAGAGCGGAAAAAGGACTTACTTTTTCTTCGCTTGGGCTACCGCCCTTGTTCCTCGCAGCTTCGCCGCTCGTCCCTCACACGAGCTCTCGAAATATGATCTACTGGATTCCAAGAATTAAAAAATAATAGACTGCTTGCAGTCTGATGCAGAGCGGAATTATAAATTTACTTTCAATTATAAATTTCTTGCCGTCAAACAACAACGTCATCCATATTTCTGTATCGTTTTTAACACCCCTTTTGCTGTAAAAACGAAATTGAGAGTTCATTTCAAGACCTCATTTCAAAGGAATTACAATACTCTATAGAGTAATTCCTTTTCCTCTTTTTCTTAAAAATAAACGTTACTGGTAACGTCTATAAACCTGAAGAAGGCTGGTCTGGTCAGTCAAAATATTGTTTGAAAAGCTGAATACGCCTTGTTTCAACTGGGAAGTTGGACTTCGTGATGCTTTATTTCTTATTTCTGGAAAAGATACCTAGCTGACGTACGGTCTCCCACCCCGATTATGACGCCCTTCAGCGCGTTTTACGAGTACTCGAGGAACGCGAGACGAGTGCTGTGGAAGCTCGCGCGCGAGACTCACGCGCCAGAGGACTGGGTCTTCACAGAAACCAATATGGCGACTGTCAGGGAAACGTTTGACACATGTGTAGTTAAATTGGACCCAAAGTGACATTATTTGGACTTCAGGAAATCGGATTTGATCTCCGTCGGCTCTTTAACTCATTGTTTAACACTTGGCTTCATTTATGGCTTAAATATTCACGGATGTGGTATGGCAGAAGTCGTCAAAATTTTGTCAGGTAAGCTTTTGTTTAATTAGCTTAACATAGCCTTATAACTTTCGCAGAAAATGTTGGTCTTATAAGCACGTTATCTAGTCAATGGTGTTTAAAGGATAAAGTTTATGTTTTAAATCATCAGATAATTCTATGTGTGCTCTTCCCGGACTTATAAACAACCCTGTCTGATGAGACCGGTTATGAAAGGCAAGAAAACAACAGTGCCCGCAGGTTACGTGAATGTTGTTTTTTTGTTTACAAAATAATTGTGACTGAAAAAAATTGCTGTGATGTTTTAATTTGTCTGCAAGATTAAAATGATAGGAATGCTATTATTAAACGTTGTGCACCGAAAACAAAAACATGTGTAAAAAAATACAAAACAGAGAGGTATAGCAGGCTTCATAACCATTCCACTTTACTGCGCTTTTCACAAACACGCAAACTCCAAAGTTGAAAAGCGTTTTTCACTGCCATCAATCATAATTATAATCACACAAGAAACAAACGTTGAAACACAGAAACACTCAAAACGTATCAAAATCCACCAATCACAGCTAGATCACAAACCATGGCCTGTTGAACCCATTTAAGTAAAGTTCTGTTTCCTAAGATGATTGGCGGCAGAGTAAAATGCAAATATCAGTTGGCTTTTGAACTTCAGAGTTTCTCTGAAATTTTTTCGACTACCAAGGAGGGGGCTCCTAAAAAATTGAACCGCTAGCGAGGGGGGCTGCTAAAATTTCAAGCTTCGAGTTTCAATATCTTCATCC